TCCCCCAGCACTCCCAGGTCCCTCTCCGCAGAGCTGCTCTCCAGCAGGTCAGCCCCAGCCTGTCCTGGTGCCTGGGGTTGTTCCTCCCCAGGTGCAGGACCCTGCCCTTGCTCTTGTTGAACCTCATCAGGTTCCTCTCTGCCCAACTCTCCACCCCTTGGGATGGCTCAGCCCCAGGTCCCCTCCCATATCCAAACCCAAATCCCCGTGGATCTGGAGGGATCCAGAGAGCGGGGCGGAGGGGGGATGGACTGGGGGATGCCTGTTCACTGTCGCGTGCCCTGACCGGCTCTCTTCTCGGCAGTACGCGGTGTGGCTGGTGCTGTGGGTCGGCTGGAACGCCTTCATCATCTGCTTCTACCTGGAGGTCGGACGCTTGTCACAGGTAACCCTCCCTGCCTGCCTTCTCTTCCTCCCTCCATCCTTCCCTCTCCATCTTCCCATCCTGCCTGCTCTCCTTCCTCCTCCTGCCCCTGCTCCACAGCTCTGTCCCTCCAAAAAGGGACCCAGAGCCTGTGGGTGCCCCCACCCTGGTGGCAAAGCACCCACCCGGGTGCTGGGGGTGCATCCCTGGGGGCTCCCGGCCGCAGCACCGAGCACCCAGGCGTGTGTGGGATGGACAGGTGGACGGTTCAGGCAAAGGTGGGGGTGGGGGAGTGGTTTCGAAGTGGGAGAGCAAAATTAATCAGGCTAATGAGTCAGGAATGGCAGGATGCTCGTTAATCACTGGGGCACCCTCGGGTTTATGGGTGCAGAAATTGGGCGGCGCCATTTCCTAACGCGCTGGCGAGGAGGTAAATCAGAGAAGGGACACGGGGACCGGGGACGAGCGGTGACAGGAAGGTTTGGGGCAGCTGCAGGAGGGGAGAATTCGCTCCCACCAAGTGTTTTGGGTGGAAATCCCCAATCTCTCGGTGGTGCCGCGATGCCGGAACACCCCCTCTTCGTGCTTCCCAGCGCCTAAACCCACCTCCTGGGGGTTTAGAAACCAAAACCTCCTTTCTTTCCATTTTTTCCCCCCACACCCACAAAAACCGCCGGAACACCCCCTCTTCGTGCTTCCCAGCGCCTAAACCCACCTCCTGGGGGTTTAGAAACCAAAACCTCCTTTCTTTCCATTTTTTCCGCCCCCGCCCACAAAAACCTTTTAATCCCAGAGCTGTGGTTTCCTGCAAGGGACGCTCAGTGGGTTTCCCAGCCGCCTGCAGACCCGAGGGCTGGTGGTGTGGAGAGGGGCTGGGGGAACCCTCCGTG